TTCTTGTTTTATGATAGTTATTTTCGGTTTGTAAAATAAGCCGAGATGGACATGTAAGTTATAAAAAAAAGGCTTGGATTTTTTATCAATAACATATGTTATGATTAAAATGAAAACATTCACAGACGCATTATACAAATTATTCGGCGGCTTTATATATTTGTATTCAAATAGGAATATACTGTTTTCTTTTTATTAAACAGAATACTCTTTAAGAGAAATTTACTTGAATCATGTTTATATCAATATTTTGTTTCCTTTGTTGCTTATAACTTCCTCATTGTCTGTAAGAAATCAGCAGAATATGAAAGGTTACAGATGGAATGACAGTCTAATTCACTTTTAATGTAGTGAAGATACTGTTCAATAATTACTTACAAGTGGTAAGTGGAATATAATGTTTTTTATTGTTATTATTCTTTTCCTCATTATGTATTTACATTTTTGTTTATGCTTACTAGTGCATAATTTCTCTATTAGATTTTAGTAATTCCCAGATTATTATATTTTTATGGAGATAAATGTAAATTGATATGTTAATAAATAATTCCAAATTTATATTAAGAGTAGGTGTTTATAAGACCTCTGTGGTGCCTCTAAGAACTATTTTTTCCTTGTAATTCAATAGTCTGTATTCCACCCAAATCCACTTGCAACTTGTTATTTGTGGTTGATAGCCAAAAGGTTTCTGATTCACTAGCATAGTGACACAAGTAATTACTGTGGCCTGCTTGCCTTTTGTGCTCCAGCAAAGGCCAGGAAAGTTCCACACCTCATACTCTGGCAAGTTAGAGTCTGTGAACCTCCTTGGGGATTTATCATCAAATAAGGACTAGTCCACATAAGCTCTGTCCTGTCAACCTGTACTTTTTGTAGCTTTATTGCCCTTCGCCATACTAATCACTTGATTATCACAACTGTCAATTGGGTTACACCAGATGTCATAGTGACTTTTAACCATTTTATCACAGTAGATTAAATGATCTGAATATCTACTACCTTCATAGGTACAGTGCCTTATATCCTATTATATGAAATTGAACCTGTGTGTTTTTTCAATCTGCGAATGTGCAAGTTCTCTTGCTTTCTTAGTATTGCAAAAATTGTGTTGCTGTGTCAGTGTTGGTTACTTTTGCTACTCTAAGAAAGATATTAAGAACCTGACATTTAAATATAATATGTCAAGCATTTCTAGAGATTATGTTGACATGATTCTAATAATGAAAACCTCAGCATATTGAAAATAAAAATATAATGATTTTAGGTAGGAAAACATGTTTATTGAAAATGAAATCAAACTTCTGTGTAGTGTAGTTGTATGTTATTTTTATATAACTAGTATTTTGTATATATACATTTAATTTTTCAAATATTATTATATTGTATATTAAGCAAAAAGAAAAAGAGATAATGAGAGAGAAAGAAAAAAATCAATAAACAAACGAGTTATCCAGTTTTCTCGACATCTTCCATACAGAGTCAGATTAATTGAAAAGGTTATCATAGGTTGGAAATTCTACAGAAACTAGATCTACTATAGATAATATTTTCTATATTTATTAATATGCGTTTATATTTGTTTTTCTTTTTCATTGGACATACAGATTTCTTGTTTATGCATTACGAACTTTGCAAAATTAGACATATGTTATGAGTATCTAATGTGACCTGGAATGGAAATCAATGAACTGAATTATTTTTGTTTGTTTATTGATTGCTGCAATTTTTCTTTTCTGGGGAAAGAATAGAATTAGTTGTGAATTTTGAGTTTTGTATATTTTGTCTGTATTTTTATTCATTATTATGTCATTTGTTATTTTGTTAGTTTTGTTAATGGCAATACCTAATTTTTTGCCATTTTTCTATGATTTCGAAAACTGAAATGATATTTTGCTTCCCCCCCCCCCCCTCTAGGTGTTTCTCCAGCATTTTTGTACTGTTTTCATAATCTTGCAGTTGTCAGCTATCATAATGTTCAGGTGAAATTTAGTTTTCCATATATTTCTACTATAATTCTTCTCAGTTATCTCATCTTTCTTCCTTTTTTCTCTTTCTTTTTTCTTTCCCTGAATGGACACTTCCTATTTTCCTTTCTTTCTTTTTATAAAAATATTTTTTCTTTCTTTCTTTCTTTTCTTCTTTCTTCTTTTTCTTCTTCATATTCATTTTCATATTATTATTATTATTATTCAATTTCTTCTTCTTCATCTCCTACTTCATCGTTATTTATCATGATGAATTCAAGATACAGGAAAATAAGTCTTAGTCTAATTGACTTTTTTATTATTATTTTTAGACTTATTTATTTATTTATTTACTTCATATTTTGATTATTTATATTTATTTTTCTCTCTCACAACAGTATGGTTTAGGATGATGGAGACAATTACTTGTGCGGGGGTGACATTGGATCTCCCTTCCGAGATGTGTCAAGACATTTCGCTGCTGTTTGAGGTGATATCTCCTGATACGTGGAACAACCACCTCACAGATGAGCACC